AATTCATATTAATTGTTCTACTGCTACCCATAAGTTTGTGGTCCGTAATTGTCATGAATGATTGAAATAAGTAGCAAGGAGTTGACTTATGTGTGTGTATTTATGTCTTTTCCATGTTTACATAGCTTGCATAATAGATTCTACGGAAACGAAAGGACAAAATTAATTAACTTGCAGCTATCTCAAATTAATTGATTTTGGTTTAGTCATTTTCATAATCCTTAATGTTATTCTTTGATTAATATGGAATGCTATCGTGCCCAGTTGATTAATTAATAATATTTAATTTTGATGCTTGGTCTAAATTAATGAAATTAGGAGAATTAAAACTTACCACGGCTATTCCGAATAAGTAGACTAAGTTCTTGAATCAAGAAATCAATTTTTTGTAAGGCCTATGATCAAGATTACAATTGGATGAAAATCACGCATTTGGATTGGAAGTTTGGTAAGATTGACTTTCGTTTTCCTTTTAGTTTGTCTATTAAATTTTAAAATTTAAATTCAAAACCCTCAATTTTTTAACTTTGAGGAATTAATTTCGTTGGTTCTCTTAGTATTCGACCTAATCTCACTACTTCTTCAAGTTTTATTTAGTAAAATCAATAATTATTTTGGAGGGCCTCGACAACTCTTACCAAGAGTGCTTGAAATATATTTTTAATTTATTGATTAATTTTGTGTTAAAATCCTTTGTTCATAAAAAGTTTACTTATTTATTCAAATTGGGCCCACCGTATGAAAAAATTTATAAAGTTTCATTAAACCCTATTAACCCCGTCTAGGGTTGTCATACCGATCCAACATCGTTCTCAGCTTACTTCCATTTACTTAGTTTTCTAGTTGTTCATTGTTTAAACTTAGTCCTTTTTGAGTTTTTTGTTTATTTTAAAGAAAATTTTAAACTTGTTATTTTGTTTGTAGGTTTGAATCTCTATTTATAAAAATCCGAGCAAGTTATTCTTTTCACTCTTTCTTATTATGTGAAGAGGTCTTTGTAATCACACAACTCTTTTGGAATAGAACGAGTACTGCTCTCCTAATCTCAAAAGAGATGGGTTAAGTTCATTCGGATTACTTCTTCCTCAACTTTACAACTTGTTATTATTTCATTCTTCCTTAAAATCATGTCTTTGAAATTATGCTCTAATCAATTATGTTTTTACTTCATCAACATGAGCTAAATTATTTTTCCCTAGCCCGATCATGTATAATTAGTAAAGTCTTTTAAAAATGACTACGAAGGACATGAATTAATCTTCAAGAAGCCATAGAGTAAGCTATGGATAATTAGATCACAAGGTTTCAGAGAGAATAAGTTCAAACTCATAATGATCATCTATCTAGAAATTAATTTTCTATACATGCAGGACAGTAGATAAACTACTCCCAAAATCGCACTCTTAATCTCCCCAAATTTAACGGTGGTGCAATTCGCTTCCCTACCATTGAAATATTTTCACTTATATATATATGAAAAGTTGAAAAGGTACAATTTTACTCTTTTCTAATTGAACTTTGGCCTCTGTACCTAATTAAGAAGAAATTGATATATTCTATTGAATGCCCTTCACGTTACAAAATTCTAATGGCATAAATTTTCTATAATATCATCAATTTTAATGGTGTTAAGTGGTAGTAAAAAGGTGTTTGAAGTTTATTTCAAAATAATTCTTTCAAGTAAAAGTAATCTAATTATATGTACTTTCATAAAAGAAAAGAAAAAGTTAGAAGTGTACTCTTGTGTTGAATGCTTTTTCAGTAAATACCGTGTAAAATATTGGCCGACAAATCGATCCAACCGACAGAATTGATGTCGGTCGATCTGAAAAATATCTTCAAACCGATCGAAACCGACCCACATAGGTATAATTTTAAAAAATATATATATTTTTTAAATGACTTATCATTTGTTTTTTTTTTACTGATTTGTATCATTTGTTAAATTGATTTTGCATTCAACGTGATTACGCTTATCTTATCATTTGTTTTTCAGATGGCTATTGACCATCTATCTTTTTCTTTTAATTTAATTATTTTATATATTTATAATTTATCTTTTATTATTTTATACATTTTCTCTCATTTTTCTATCTAACCCTCTCTCAATCTTCTCTACCTCCATAATTTCTTTTTCTTCTCTTCCTTTTCATCTTTATTCTTTCTTCACTCTTTCAAGTTTTAGTTTTGTTTCTTTCTTTCTCCCTTTCTCATTTCAGTTTTGCTTTTTTACCCTCTCCTCTTCTCTTTGTCAAGAATGTCAAGGTAGGGGCAGAGGACGTTGGAACAACAACCGTCCTATTTGTCTAAGTGTGTGGAAAGCTAGGACACACGGCACTTGTGTGTTATCATCGTTTTGACAAGCAGTATGCTAATTCAGGGCCAAGTAATCATGTAGGTGGCTCTAACTTTGGAGGAGGGAATCCTAATATGACTGCAATTGCTCCAATGGCCACTCAAGCTTTCCTAGCCACACAAAAACCAAATACCTTTATTGCAAGCCCTGAACCAGTGGTTGACCCAACTTGGTATGTTGATAGTGGAGCATCAAATCATGTTACAGCAGATTATAGTAATATGGTTAATCCCTCTGAATATAGTGGTAAGAATAAGGTGACCGTTGGTAATGGTGATAAGTTGCTTATTTCTTTGGCCTCTTCCTATTTGGGATCAAATGATAAATTGATAACTCTTAAAAATGTTTTATATGTGCCTTCTATAGCCAAAAATCTTGTTAGTCTTTCAAAACTTGCCCACGATAATGATGTGTATTTTGAATTTCATGTTGATCATTGTATTGTAAAGGACACACGTACAAGCAAAGTGGTTCTGACGGGGCTCTTAAAGATGGACTCTATCAGCTCGGTTCACCAGGTGTCACTGGAATGTCTATTAAATAGTTGCTTGGGGTCGGCTAATAACAATGTTGCTGCTTTTGTGTCGTCTATTCCAGTGGTCGTGTCTAAAGATGTTTGGCATAGGAGGCTTGGTCACCCATCCTCTGGAGTTTTTAATACTATAGTTAAAAGTTGTAATGTACCAGTGAAGATCAATGATATTTTTACTTTTTATGAAACTTGCAAGTTTGGTAAATCGCATGCTCTCCCATTTCCTGCTTCAAATTCACATCCTAATGCTCCGTTTGAATTAATTCATACTGATATGTGGGGTCCTGCACCGGTTCTTTCCACTGAAGGATATCGATACTATGTTCACTTTTTAGATGATTTTAGCAGATTTGTTTGGATTTATTCTCTTAAGCTGAATAGTGACACTACCGCCGCCTTTAATCATTTTCTTGCTATGATGAAAGCTCAGTTTGGGACATCCATTAAAATGTTACAATCGGATAATGGGGGTGAATATAAAAGGATACATCAATTGTGTGCAACGTTGGGTGTTCAATCGCGATATTCTTGGCCTTACACCTCCGCTCAGAATGGTCGGGTTGAGAGAAAGCATCGACATATTGTTGAAATGGGATTAACATTGCCTACTCAAGCGTCCATGCGTCTTGGTTATTGGTGGGAAGCTTTCCTCACATCCACACTATTGATCAACAGTCTTCCTTCTACGATGCTCCATGGCAAGTCACCACTACTAGAAATTCGATCTACCGTGACGTTTTTTTAGAGTCACAAAAATCTTTCGTGACGTTTTTATTGGCATCACGTATACGCCCATCACGAAAGGTATACGAGACGTTTAAAAAACGTCATCAAAATTAGCACACGTGACGGTTAATTAGCGTCACGAAAGACATGAACTTCCACGACGTTCATAAACCGTCACGAAAAATGATTTCGTGACGATTATAGAATGTCATGGAAAGACCTTGAAAAGGGGAGGAGAGGTCACGTGACATCCTTTCGTGACGGTGTTTCACCGTCACCAAAATTGTATTTCGTGACGGTGTTTACACGTCACGAAAAGTGAATTTCGTGACGTTTGATAATCGTCCTAAAAAATATTTTGGTGACGGTTTAAAAACGTCATTAATGATTTCATTTTGTGACGATAAAAAGAGGGTCACTGAATACATATTTAATTTTGATTGTAGATGTCACGGAATATAAATATCATATTGTTAAATTATCGTTCGAACACGCAAATATATTAATTTACCATAACAAAGTTGAAATATATTAAACATGAACAAGAAAGCTAATATATTAATTTAGAATGTATTAGTATTCTCAAACACAAATTACATAATTACAGAATTAAACTTGTTCTTTACACACCAACCCCAACAACGATGCTCAGCCACCAATTAGATTTCTAATTGTCGACATCTTTGGGTTAAGAAAGACCTAATGAAAAAACAATACCCAAGTTAGATAAATGATTAAACAAAAACCAACCTACTCATCAACATTCATATGAACTTACTCGATAATATAATAAAACAACCAACATAACGACCAAACAGAAGAAGCACGATTCAAATAAACGACATGCCTACACTTTTTCTACATCCTTAAAATACATAGCACAAAATATCAGTACAATCATCCTGTAAGGAAAGTATCAATATGATATGATAACCAACAAAATGATCAAACAAAGTTCCAACATAACTGAAGAGGTTACAATAACAAAAATAATCGAACACTTATTCTATATCCTTCAGCAGCATAGCACAAAATGAACTTAAACAATATAACACAAACTATAATCAATATTCAATATTCAGTATTTCTTGTAAACGTACTCAATAATATAGCTATAGTCCCAGCATATAACAAGTTCGATTCATAAGTATTTAATATTCAAATGTTATAGTATGAATGATGACGAAAAGCTTAAAATAGCTTACCTTTGTTATGATGGATCTTTGAATGAAACGGCCACAACATGCTTCAGCTCACCCGAACGCAGTTCGACAAGCATTTCCAGTGCGAAGATTGCTCCTGTCATATAAACCAATAATAAGCAACTTAGGAAAATGAGCTTTCTAAAAAACTTGACATAAACAATAACATCCAAACAAAGTTTTGAATAATACAATACCGCATATGCGTTAAGCTACGAAGCCGACCAAAAATTTCTTGTCTGACAAAATAGATACGTCAAAGTAGTGTGTCTGACGAAGTAGTCCTACCAGAAAATTTAAATATTCAGATTACTCTAAGTACTACACCTTCAAATGAATAAACAGTGATATAGTTAACAACTCACACCAAAGTTTTTCTCTTCGTCATGAAAGTATAAGGTGGCCAGCATTCCAAAAAATAAGCGAGACAAAAGTRTTGCTACCAATGCATCAACCATGAACTCGAACAATGTGCAAGCAAAAAAGAATATTATATGCAACATGAGTTCATGGTCGGCCAAAAAAAGTAAATACACATCTTATGAAAAAGTAAGGTAGGACCCAACAAACTCGACCCACTCCATTCTCAACACGTTTATGTCATCTTTTGTGTATTCTTTCGGTTCAAGTTTCATCTGTAACCATAGAATCAGTAATTAATTAAGTTCGAGACATTCGCATATATACATATGTTTTGACATTCATACAGGCTAAATTATTACTTACTACATCTGTGATCGAAGTGCTTTGTTGGTTTACTATGGCCCGCATGAACTGCATAACGTAATACCCACATTCTGTTGAGCCAGGTTGTCTTGGGCACTATGGACACAACAAGGCATTTCCCAAACACTAAGCTGATAATCAATAGAACAGTGACTGTGAACCATTTAATGAGTGAACTACATCTCTTACCTTTACACACTTCCAATGTACCTTTACTTTGTTGCACTTATTCAAAGCCCTACGAAGCGGTGGACAATAAGTTTATAAAACAAATGAACTTAAGCTCAATCATTAGGTGACTTCTACATACCGGTTGACGACATCCATTATATCATTGTCCAGACGATTTCTCAAAGGGTTGATTGAATACACCATGGTCTTCGAGTAATSAATGACTATYAATATCCAATSTGATCTATGCATTCCAAATAAATTATAAAATCAGTTAAATTAGACATACATACCACAATAGCTATATTAATGAAAAGGACTTACCCACTGTTGTAGGGAGCAAAAAGCAATTGACCCGACTCCATTTGCATAAGTTGTTTTGTCAAATTCTCCGTTCGTGCTTCTTTTGAAAGATTGGATGTCGATATTGATCCAGCATCAAGAAATTTGTACATATGAGATGCACCTCTTGTCACCAAGTTCTTGTATAAGTATCTACAAAACACATAAAAGTCAAACATTAGCGATATGACGATGTTATCGTTTTGGTGATCTCATTATAATTTATAAGTCATGTCACTTACATSATATACACATCTATGCACGAATCAGTTATCGGCTTCATCTCATAAAAGGTTTGAACAATGTCCATCCATACTCTACAGATGTGGCCGAACACGTCATCAGTCACTGGCAATATTACCTGAGATTTACATATCTTCATCTCACGAAGCAGGCATCGCAGAACAATTGGGGTGCTTCGATCATATTCGAACGGGTACAGCTCAAGCACCTCCTCTCTGGTTGCAACCACCTACTTAGTTGAAGGAATTGAAGTTAGTCTTACACGACAAAAAGGGGCATAATACTTAAATTATTTTACACTATGTTACCCCTTTTTCAGTGATGGTAATGAGGTGTCCTGGCCATAATATGTGCGAACCTAACTCGTCAGCTAGTACATTCGATCCTCTGTTAGATGGAATGGGCAAAGGGCAATCATTCTGGAACACTACATCAACTAATACCTTCGCATTGCCTCCTTCCAAGTTGCATTCGAAAATCGTTCCTAATGCAACTACGTTGTCGATGGACCCGAACAACAATTAACAAGAATCTCTCTTCTAATATTCATGTTATCAACAACAATAAGTCTCGAGGCTTCACCCTTACATTATAATATCGTGCCATGCGGTTCTGATACTTGGCTCGGCGAAGTTGTGACTGAACACGCCTTTCCTCAAGGAGGTCGAGGTTGAGCAGAAGTGCCTCAGCGTTAGCTTGCTGATCGAAGTGCTGAACTCTAAAGGTTGGTAAACCCACCTACATTGGTACAACCACTTCCGAGCCGAACACAAGACTGAAAGGGGTTTTGTCCGTCGACCCTCGCACTGTAGTTCGGTAAGACCAGAGTACTTCTGAAAGGTCTTCAGCCCATCGGCCCTTTAGGGCCTCCAGCTTTGTCTTCAGGCCGCGCTTGACAATCTTGTTGATAGCTTCGACCTGTTTGTTGGCCTGAGGATGAGCCGGAGACGAGCTAAAATGCTTGATGCCAAGCTCCTCGCTGAATTTGTTGAATCGGGCATTGTCGAATTGCTTCGCATTGTCCATTATCAGGGCATAAGGGATGTCGAATCAACAAACGATATTCTTCTAGATGAAGCTTGTGACATTTTGCTCGGTAATTTTTGCTAGCGGCTCGGCCTCAACCCATTTGGTGAAATAATCCGTCGTAACTATCGAGTGGGTGACTTGTCCTTTCCTGGTAGGGAGTGCACCGATCAGGTCGAGACCCCATTGAGCGAATGGCCAAGGACTTGAAATGGGCATGAGGAACTCTAGAGGTCGGTGCGGAATAGTAGCGAAACGCTGACACTTGTCACACTTCTTCACGAACTGCTTTGTGTCCCGGTCTAGGCTCGGCCAATAATAGCCCTGCTTGATGATTTTGAAAGGCATGGACCGAGCACCGGAGTGGTTGCCACAGACTCTTTTGTGAACCTCTCTCATGACGTAATCAGCTTCATCTGGGTTGAGGCATCTCAAAAGTGGTAAAGAGAAACCTCTCTTATACAACTTGCCCTCCTAGATGACGTAGTGCGCAGCTCAGCGTGCCAGCTTCAAGGCCTCGACACGGTCATCAGGAACCTTCCCACTCAGGTAATCCTTGATTGGATCCATCCAAGTTGGGGAAGTTGGCTGAATATCCATCACCTCGGCTTGGTCGATGGATGGCTCATTCTGTACCTCGACTGGGACTGCGCAGGGTAGTTCAGTCTCATATGCTGAAGCAAGCCTGGCGAGGGCGTCAGCATTTCAATTTTCTGACCTTGGAACTTGACGAATCACGTAGTTCTTAAACTGGCTTAGGAGTTCCTTCGCCTTCTTGAGGTAGCTCTCCATGAGACTATCTTTCGCTTGGTATTCCTCGTTTATCTGGTTCACGATGAGTTGCGAATCATTAAGGATGAGCAGATGGTTCACTCTCATCCCCCTCGTAACTCTGAGTTCTGCGATGAGTGCTTCATACTTAGCTTCGTTATTCGACGCTCTGAAGCTGAACCTCAGTGCACACTCAAATCTGAGGTCACTCTAGCCGAGGAGAAGCATGTCAGCCCTACAACCTTTGTCGTTGTAGGAGCCATTAACATACAGCGTCCACTGCACTCGGTCATCAGTACTAGATCGATATGGGGTCAAGTCGGCAATTAAGTCAGCTGCTACCTAGCCCTTCATTACTATTCGTGGTTTGAACGAGATGTGGTCTCACTGAGCTCCAAGGTCCAATTCATGAGCCTTCCTGAGGTCTCAAGCTTATGAAAGATCTACCTCAAGGGGAAATTGTTGAGCACTGTAATGTGGTGTGCTTGAAAGTAAGGGCGCAAGCGCCAAGCCGATGTCACCAAAGCCAAAGCTAGCTTTTCGATACACGGATACCTCGTGTAGGCATCAGTAAGAGATATATTGGTGTAATACACCAGATGCTGCTGACCCCTTCCTCTTTGATGAGTACCGAACTAACGACCTTATCAGACACCGCCGAGTACATGAACAACTTGTCGTCTGGCAGTGGCTTGGTGAGTAGGGGAGATGAGCCGAGATAACGTTTGAGCTAATCAAACTCTTCTTGGCACTCCTGGGTCCACTCAAACTTCTCCCTCTTCCTCAAGACTTTGAAGAACGAAAGGCACTTGTCTATTGACCTGTGAATGAAGCGGTTCAGCGCGGCTACTTTTTCGTTGAGGCGTTGGAGCTGCTTTAAATTTTTTGGAGGTTACATCTCGAGCACAGCTCGAATCTTGTCTGGATTCACCTCAATCCCCCGTTGGTTCACCATGAAGTTGAGAAACTTACTCGAGCATACACCGAAGGCGCATATTTAGGGGTTCAGATTCATGTTATAGCAGCGGAGGACTTCGAATGCCCCCGTCAAGTCGACTATGTGTGAGTTGACCTGTTTGCTCTTCACTAGCATATCATTGACATAAACCTCCATATTTCTACCGATCTGCTTGGCAAACATCATGTTCACCATCCATTGATATGTGGCTCCAGCGTTCTTCAGCCCGAACGACATGACCTTGTAGCAATAAAGCCCTTGGTCGGTCAAGAATTAGGTGTGCTCCTGATCAGGTACATGCATTTTAACTTGGTTATAGCCTAAGTAGATATTCATGAATGTTAGTAGTTCATGTCAAGTGGTGGCACCGACGAGCTGATCTATCAGAGGCAACGGGAAAGTATCCTTCGGACAAGCTTTGTTCAGGCTGGTGAAGTCGATACAGACGCACCATTTACCATTAGCTTTTTTTAACTAGAACTACATTAGAGAACCACGCGAGGTAGTGAAATTGTTTTATAAAATCAGCTCATAAGAGCTTCTCAACTTCCCTACTTATTACAAGACTACGCTCAGCATCGACAAGCTGACGCTTTTGCTTTACAAGCCTAAAGGAGGGATCTACATTTAGTCTATGTACCATGATGCTCGGGTTGATCCCTGACATGTCCTCGTGCGACCATGCAAAGACGTCGGCATTTGCTCGTAGGAAGTTGATCAATTCAGTTCTTGTCTCTGCCCCTAGCTTGGTGTCGATGCTGACTTGTCTGTCAGAGCTCAATAGCAGCACAAGCTCTAACTCTTCTACTGAAGTTCCCCAGGTCGGCTCATCCAGAGGCGGAGATTCAGCTGTTATATTTGTGCAGGTAATAGAGCCTCTCAAGGCTGCAGCATAGTATTCCTTTGACATTTTCTGCTCGCCTCGGATGGTTGCTATCCTAGCCGCGGTAGGGTATTTCATCATCTGGTGGTACGTCGAAGGGATGACCTTCAGATGGTGAATGAAGGGTTGGCCTAGTATGGCATTATAGGCTGAGCTGCGATCGATCACCACAAACTCGGTGATCGAAGTTACCTGATGCTCCATTTCGCCAAGGGTGACTGGAATCGAGATACAACCCTCGACAGTGACAGATTATCCGGCGAAGCCAACCAATAAAATTGGGCTCAGCTTGTGCTGGGCTCACTCCCAACCTAAAGTCGAATAGACAGACATGGAAAGCACGTTGGTTGAGGCTCCTTCGTCAATGAGTACCCGCTTGACCACAACATGGTCAATCGTAGGGGCGATGACTAAGGCGTTGTTGTGAGGTAAATGGACGCTCTCAGTATCTTGCTTATCGAACAGGATGGGAAGGGTCGGCTCCTTCGAGTACGAGGTGCAGACTTCATGTGCCGCCTCTCTTATCAGGGCTTTCTGCTTCTGGACGGACTAACGTCCACTGGGTCCTCCGGCTATGGTATTTATGACCGCAGGTCAATCCCCCGTACGTCGAGGTGGCGACCGAGTTCTCTCCTTTTGGTTATCCTTGTTTGACCTGGTCGGCTCTTCTCTACCACATGAGCCGACATATTTCTTTAAATAAACCACAACAGATGAGCTCTTCGATCGGGTCATGCAAGGCGTAGCAGGTTGAAGTGTCGTGGTCGTTGGTCTTTGTGGAACCAACAGTACTTGATCTTATCCTTCTTTTTGTCAGGCACCTTGGTTTTCCCTGGTGGTGAGAGTAAATTCTCGAAGCTGCCTTCCTCTATAACTGCTAATATCTCAGCTGTGGGTTTGTTGGTTGGAGTGTACTTATCGAACCGAGGTCCTTTCTTGAACTCGGTTCGACTGTCTTCGCGACGGTCAGTCTTGTCCTCCGACTCGAACCTCGGTCATAGTACCTTCGCTTCTGAGACTTGTCGTCCAGGTTGCTATAGCGCTTTCCACCG